CTTGAGGTCCCAGGATCGAAGAAGAACGGGCACGGGAACGAGGGGTAGGAGAGGGATGGAATGGAGGGCGGGGGGGGCGAAAGGCCATCGCGAAAACAGCAGCATGCATGGAGAAGGCGAGGCGGGGAATAGGACAACGATGAAAGTGGCGGGAGGAGACAGAAGACTGTCGCGTTTTTCAAGTGCGAGCTAAACCCGCAGCGCTGCCTGCGCCATGTCGTCGCAGAGTTCCACATGATAAAACTAGTTTAGAATGCAAGGAACGAACGAGGCGAAGCTCGCCCGCTAGCTTCTCCGCCTCCTTCCCGCACATTTCAGCGCGGGAGCTGAACGCTCGCAGGCGCGCCGCCAGGTCTGCGGGCGGCCCGCGGGAAAGAAACTCAAGGCCGGGGTCGCGTATCATCAATCGGTTGTCCATCGTCCAAAGTTGCACTGGCGACGTGCTGGTTGAACGCGGAGCGAGCAGCATCACGCGCGCGCCTGAATGCCACGCAGGTACAGTGCACGCGCGATTGGGACTTCAGGTGGATCACGCGCGTCTCCACCAGGCTTGGCAACACCACGCGACTGAGGATCTCACTGCGGTCTGCCATGCTGCTGTCCGCGAATGCAATGCGCTGCCTGCAAGTAAGGCGGCGGCGTCCACTTGTCTCAGAAGATGTTCCCGCGGGCCCGAAGGGCGACCGCCAGCTCGAGCCGCGGCGCCGGCAGGCCAGATAAGGATCATGCAACAGCAAAGACGATGACAGAGCAACGAGGTATCGGCGAGTGCATGACCGGCCTCCGTTTCCTGCACTTCTTTCCTGTAGTTCCCCTAGCTCATCGAGCTCAGCAGATGTTTCTGCGGGCCCGAAGGACGACCGCCAGCTCGAGTCGCAGCGCCGACGAGCTGCATCCACATCAGGCAACACCCCAGGAGACACTGGCACACAACGACTTGACGTCAGTCAGTGCCAGACCACTCCATGTCTAGTTCCTCGCACACATACAGTCGATCGCAGATGCGGGATAATCGAAGTAGAATGACGGGTCCAATCTGCGTCCGCGTAGGACGTCACTATGCTGGACCCCGCAGCAGGTCTCGAAAGTGGCGACAGTTTCATGGGCCCCACAGCAGCCTTCGAAAGTGGCGACAGTTTCACAGATCGTAGCCCCCCAGCGCTGGCGAGGTCTAATCTGAGTCCCCGTAGGACGTCACTCCGCTGGCCCCCCAGCAGCCTTCGAAAGTGGCGACAGTTTCACAGATCGCAGCCCCCCAGGGATGGCGAGGTCTAATCTGTATCCCCGTAGGGCGTCACTCCGCTGGGCCCCCCGCGCAGCCTTCGAAAGTGGCGACAGTTTCACAGATCGCAGCCCCCCAGGGATGGCGAGGTCTAAGCTGAATCCCCGTAGGGCGTCACTCCGCTGGGCCCCCAGCAGCCCTTCGAAAGTGGGGGATGGCGACAGGTTTCAACCGATCGAAGGCCCCCAGGGATGGCATAGAGGAATTAACCTGAATCCCCGTAGGGCCAACAGGTCAACTCCGCTGGGCCCCCCAGCAGCCCTCGAAAAGTGGCGACAGGTTTCACAGACGATCTGCACGCCCCCCAGGGATATGGGCGAGGTCTAATCTGAATCCCCGTGTGATGGGCGTCACTCCGGGGGCCCCCCAGCAGCCTTCGAAAGTGGCGACAGTTTCACAGATCGCAGCCCCCCAGGGATGGCGAGGTCTAATCTGAGTCCCCGTAAGACGTCACCCCGCTGGGGGTCCCAGCAGACCTCGAAAGTGGCGACAGTTTCACAGATCGCAGCCCCCCAGGGATGGCGAGGTCTGATCTGAGTCCCCGTAGGACGTCACTGTGCTGGGCCCCCCAGCAGCCCTCGAAAGTGGCGACAGTTTCGCAGATCGCAGCCCCCCAGGAATGGCGAGGTCTAATCTGAGTCCCCGTAGGACGTCACTGTGCTGGGCCCCCCAGCAGCCCTCGAAAGTGGCGACAGTTTCACAGATCGCCAGGGGGCCCCACAGGGATGGCGGAGGGTCTAATCTGAATCCCCGTAGGGCGTTTCCACTCCGCTGGGCCCCCCAGCAGGCCTCGGAAAAGTGGCGGGACAGTTTCACAGATCGCAGCCCCCCAGGGATGGCGAGGTCTAATCTGAATCCCCGTAGGGCGTCACTCCGCTGGGCCCCCCAGCAGCCCTCGAAAGTGGCGACAGTTTTCACAGATCGCAGCCCCCCAGGGATGACGAGGTCTAATCTGAATCCCCGTAGGGCGTCACTCCGGTGGGCCCCCCAGCAGCTTCGAAAGTGGCGACAGTTTCACAGATCGCAGCCCCCCAGGGATGGCGAGGTCTAATCTGAATCACCGTAGGGCGTCACTCCGCTGGGCCCCCCAGCAGGCCTCGAAAGTGGCGACAGTTTCACAGATCGCAGCCCCCCAGGGATGGCGAGGTTTAATCTGAATCCCCGTAGGGCGTCACTCCGCTGGCCACCCCAGCAGCCTCAAAAGTAGCGACAGTTTCACAGATCGCAGCCCCCCAGGGATGGCGAGGTCTAATCTGAATCCCCGTAGGGCGTCACTCCGCTGGGCCCCCCAGCAGCCTCGAAAGTGGCGACAGTTTCACAGATCGCAGCCCCCCAGGGATGGCGAGGTCTAATCTGAATCCCCGTAGGGCGTCACTCCGCTGGGCCCCCCAGCAGCCCTCGAAAGTGGCGACAGTTTCACAGATCGCAGCCCCTCCCGCAAGAGAAGAGAGGAGGAGGCGGGAGGGGGCGGGAAGGAAGGAAGGAAGGAAGGAAGGAAGGAAGGAAGGAAGGAAGGTGGAGACCGCAGTGCTCTATTCAAAACAAGTACCCAACGCAGGAGGGTTGGGAATAAATTCTCCCTGTCGCACCCCGAGGCTAGTTCTTAGGGCGGTCCCGACGTTTCGCCTGAGATGTCTTAACCATTTCTGACCCTGAAGCTTAAAAATTAGCAACAGCTTCACAGATGGTGGGCGGGTGGTTTTCCAAATGTGGCTCTCGCACTAGAGCCGCGCACCTTCGTTTCAAAAAATTGTAAGAGCGTCACGGATCGAGGGCGGGTCGTTTTCAAAATGTGGCTCTCGCCTTAGCACCGTGCACATTCGTTTGAACAAATTTTCAGTGCTTCACAGATTGAGGGCGGGTGATTTTCGCAGTGTGGCTCTCGCCTTAGCGCCGCGCACATTCGTTTTCAAATGTTCCAGGAGCTTCACATATTGAGGGCGGTTCCTTTTCAACATGTGGCTCTCGCATCAGCGCTGCGCACATTCGTTTGTAAGTTTTGAAAGAATTTCACGGTTTCACATGATCAGCGTACCAGAAATTGTGTTCTTCAAGCATTCAGGACTACGTGGGTGCAACAGTTACGTTGATTCACAATGTTGAAGTCCCAGGAATGGTGTTCTGGCACGATTCAAGATCGTCAAGACGCAACATCGAGGTTTAACCTATGAGTTGGAATCACGACAACAATGTTTTGACATGCTTCAGAGTCTTCAAACGGTTGTGTTCCAACGGGGCAGTTCCCTGTGGGAATGAACCGCTGTGGGGCCCTTTAAAGAAGCAGCTTGGCTGGAGGATTCCTTCCAACATCATTGAAAGCTCTTGGGTTTTCACTGGTCCTCCTCCTCCTCCTCCTCCTCGTCCTCCTCCTCCTCCTCCTCCAATTGCCGTGTTTAAAATATCTCCCCCTCTTGCCTCTCCCTGCTCCTGTGCTCATCTTCCTCCTCCTGCTCCTCCTCCTCCTCTTCCTCCTCCTCCTCCTCCTCCTCCTCCTCCTCCCCCTCCTCCTCCTACTCCTACTCGTCCTCCTCCTCCTCATCCTCCTCTTGCTTCTACACAACTGCTCCCTGTGGCGCCTTGAGACGTGTCGGTAGGGCGGGCCGGGCGTTATGCCGGAGACATCCTCGCCACTTGTGATCCTGAACCTCGAAGGTTGCAACTGCTTCACGGCTTGAGGGCGGGCTGTTTTCGCAATGTAGCTCCCGCCCTAGTGTCGTGCACACTCGTCCGAAAAAAAATGCAGCAGGGTTAAGGGTGGAGTGCGGCTCCGTTTGAAAAGATTGCTCTCGCTCCAGCGTCGAGCACATTCGTCTTGAGAGTGTGCGGCAGTTTCGAGAAGGGCCTCCAAATCTCGTTTTCACCGTGGCGCCGCGCATATTCGTTGGAAAAGTTTCCAACAATTCCAAGGCCTCGTACGATCGAACTCCCAGAAATTATGTTGTGGTACAATTCACGGTTGTCAGGGCCGAGCAGTCAGCTTGGTTCACGGCGCTGACATCCCAAGAACGGCGTTCTGGCACGATTTCGGACTGCAAGGACGCACTAGTCACGTTGACCGCAGCGCTAAAGTCCCAGGAGCTGTTTTGGCACGATTCACGAGTCTCAGACGGTTGTCTTCTAATGGGCCATTTCCGGCAATGATAATAATTTCCTTTAGGGACCTATGCAGACTGAACTTGGAAGGATTTCGTATTCAAACATCGGTGGGGCGTCTTGGGTTTACACGTGTCTGCCTCTTCCTCCTACTTGTCCTTCTCCTCCTACTCCTCCTCCTCCTCCACCTCCTTCAAATCCTCCTTCAGCTCCTCTTCTTTCTGATCCTCAACCTCCGCCTCCTCCTCCACCTCCGCATTACCCTCCTTTTCCTCCTCCTCCTCCTCCTCCTCCTCCTCCTGCTCCTCCTCCCCTTCCTCCTCCTCCTCCTCCTCCTCCCCTTCCTCCTCCTCCTCCTCCTCCTCCTCCTCCCCTCCTCCTCCTCTCCTCCTCCCCTCCTCCTCCTCTTCCTCCTCTCCTCCTCTCATCCTCCTCCTCCTTCCTCCTCCTCCTCCCCCTCCTCCTCCTCCTTTTCTCTGCCTTCCTCCTCCTCCTCCTCCTCTCCTCCTCCTCCTCCTCCTCCTCCTCCTCCTCCCCCTCCTCCTCCTTTTCCTATTCTTCCTCCCTCTCCGCTTCCTCATGCTACCCGCACACTCTGAGCGCTCTCTACTCCCAGTGAGGAGGCCTCATCCACGGCGCCAAGGAACTTCAGCGTGAGGTGCATCAGCGAAGGGTCCACCCATTTGACGCCTGATGCAGGGCACGGCTGGGCGTGGGCGCATCCGTCTGTGTCCCCATGTGCGCCTTCTACCGATTTCGGGGCGCATCCCGACCACCCATCCCCCCCCCGCCGATTGCCGATCGTCGTTGAGGACCGCCGATGAGGCACCCGAGAGCATCGAAATCGGATCGGATCGGGCTGGCCAGGCTCGATGCCGAACCGACTCGATCGGATCGACATGGGCGTGGTGGTCTGGGGGCACCACGGCTGCAGCTGCAGGCCGCTCCAGAAAGTTTGCCGAACAGACCCCGACCAATGCAACCTGCAGCCCAGAATGGCACCAGTCTGGTCGCCCTGATAATCGCGGCGGTGTGGGGCAGGATACCCCGCAGCACGTCCGCGACGCCCGCGACGCTACCAACCTATACAGTGGCTACGCTACCACCGCATTGACAGAAACCTGCTCGGGAATAGCCAGGCACCCAGGGAGATCGCACCAGGCGGCTGCTTTTGAAAAGCTTCCTCGTGGACCCCGAGACCAAACGAGGCTTGTTCAATCAGCCAGCGTGCGGCTGCACAGAGTAAGCTTCACACACACACACACACACACACACACACACACACACACACACACACACACACACATTTTGCGTCCACTTTATCCTCGAGGCCGCCAGAAAACTCGGGAGCCTTCACGGGGGGCAGACCGGGAGAAGGCTGCGAGCACCTTGCCGAGGCGACAGGGCCGCCCCTTCTGGCGGATCTCCGCCTGCAGCTTTTGCCAAGGGGCCAGAAGGGCAACGGCGAGCCCGGTGCTGCGGAGTCGGGGCATCAAGGTGTCGAGGACGTGGGCGATCTCCCAGGCCTCGCACGGGTTGCTGGGCTCCCCCCCCCGCGGAGGTGCTCGACCGATGGGACGTGGGCGACGAGGAGCCGATCCGCGCCGCCGAGGGGGGCGGCTGGGCACTGTCGAAGCCAAGCTGCGGGGCCGGCGGGAGGGCGGGAACTGGTGGGACAACCGCAGCGTCGTCGGTCGCGGCACCGAGCCGGGCCACCGCCAGGGAGGAGCGGCCTGCTGGCGCGACGACGACAGGGGCAGCCGGGGCAGCCGGGGCCTCCGGGGCGGAGAGCTCTGCGCGGATGGCGCGGCGGACAGGCCAGCCGAGGCCAGGCATGACACGGCGGGCGATGCCCAGCGAATCCCGTACGAGCCCTGGTGGTACTGCATCGACGGACAGCACAAGAGCAAGGATGCGTGCGGTAGCAGACATCGAGGGCGGTGACCATAGACGGATGGGCCTGCACCATGGCGACCAGCTTCTCGAGGAGGGGGATGCTGATGCCCATGGCGGCAGCCGCCTCAGAGCGAGAGAAGGGGCCCATTTGGTTATGTTAACCAATGAGGGGGATGGGGGCACCATCCGCCACAGCCATGCTCAGAGGGATGGCAGATACGGCTTCGAAGCATTGGCTGGCCTTGCCCACGAGCACGGCGTGAACGCGCGGGCCCTCCGGCTGAGACCCGCTGCGCCAGAAGGACCGCGCGCACCCGAGGGTGGCAGCGAGGAGTCGGAAATCAAAGGCCTCGCCTTTCCCCTGAGGAGGAGGAGGAGGAGGAGGAGGAGGAGGAGGAGGAGGAGGAGGAGGAGAAGAGGAGAAGAGGAGAAGAGGAGAAGAGGAGGAGGAGGAGGAGGAGGAGGAAGAGGGGCGGCGGCCTTGGTTGATGGCACGGAAACGGCCGACAAGGGTGCAGGGCTGGGCGGCGGAGGCGGCGGACTGGAGGCGGGCCAGCCCGCAGATAGCCGCCAGAAGGCCTCAGTCGGCGGTCCGATGGTCGGTGGCGAGGGCAGGCTGTTCCAAGCCGTCATCAGGGTGGCAGCTGCCTGGGGGCACGTTAGCTCCCGCTCCCTTCCCTCCTTTTTTCATTGGCTCAAGCACCAAGGTTCCGAGGCCGCTCCCGGCACGTTTTGCTGTGGAGCGCCAGGATGGCGCGGGCGACGGCGCTGCGGAGTGGACTGCCAGGGGCTGGGTGTCGTTGAGCGGGCACGCCGTGCAGGCAGCCTCCAAATCAGCAATCGCCTGAGGGACTCCGGCCGTACCCTGGAAGTCCTCCAGGGTCCGAACTGTAGGCAAGATGGGGGTGGGTGGGTTCGCTGCGGGATATCCTCCGCAGGAGTAGCATCCTCGCCTGCCATCGGAGCGTACACACACACAGACACACACACACACACAAACACACTTTTTGATTCGCGGGTCGAGAGCGCACCTCTTCCGGTCGAAGCTAAGCGGGCCGCGCGAAGCTTGAATTAACAAAGAGGGGGGGACAGAAGACACACACACACACACACACAAACACGCGCACACAAACACATACACACACCATATGGCGCATCATTGGGCGAGAGATGGGGAACGTCGGAGAGTTTGGTTGACTGCGACAGCGTGGACGTCCACCCAGTCTGCAGAACGCCTTGAGACGCCATCCGAGCTAGGCGGCGAGTCCGCCAACGCCACTCCTCCGTGCCGAGCTGCCAATGCGGGGGCCGACGGGCGAGCGGGCGCTCGCAAACCTCGGCTTCCAGAAGCTCACGACGCTACAGACATAAAACCATGACGTCCAAGGCCCAGAGCTCCTCCACCGCACGGTTGCACGGAGCTCTGCACGGCAGGATCGAGCCGCCTCCTCCCCTCCTCCTCCTCCTCCTCCTCCTCCTCCTCCTCCTCCTCCTCCTCCTCTTCCTCCTCCTCCTCCTCCTCCTCCTCCTCCTTCTCCTCCTCCTCGTCCACGTCGAGCTGCGTGGGGTGTGCGACGCACTCCGTCTTGAGGAGGACGAAGCCCCATTGGTCCAAGCTGCTCGCGCAGGCCGTGTGGAGTCTGCCGACTTCTATTGATTTCTTGCCTCCAAACAAAATCGTCGTCCACGTCGTCCTCGTCGACAACGTCGTCGCCGTCGTGCCGCCGCCACCGCCGGCGTGGCCCCACTACTCGACGGCCCCGCGGGCGCGTGCGCGCACCTCCCGCGGCCAGCCTGTGCTCCTCCCGCAGCCGCGCGGCAAAGCGCCCAGCGCCTCAGGAAGTACCAGATGGCCACCGCCGCCGACGACGTCGTCGTCGCCGTCGTCCAGGCCGCCACTGTCGTCCAGATCGCCGGCGATGACGTTGTCGTCGTCGTCGTCGTCGCCGTCGCCGTCGCGGTCGCCGTCGTCGTCGTCGTCGTCGTCGTCGCCGTCGTCGTCGTCGTCGTCGTCGTCGTCGTCGTCGTCGTCGTCGTCGTCGTCGTCGTCGTCGTCGTCGTCGTCGTTGCCGTCGTCGTCGTCGTCGCCGTCGTTGCCGTCGTCGTCGTCGTCGTCGTCGTCTTGGGCATGAGGCGGAGAAAGGGAAGGAGGAGAAGTGAAGGGAGGTGGTGGATGAAGAGTGTGGAGTAATTGGGGAGGGAGCGAAGAAGGAGGAGGAGGAGGAGCACCGCGACGACGACGACGACGACGACGATGAGGACGAGGAGGAGGAGGAGGAGGAGGAGGAGAAGGAGAAGCCTACCACCGCTCGCATCACATCCCCCACTGTTGTTCCCAGCACCACTGTCCTCACCACCACTGTCCCCACTGGTTCCACCACCGTCCCTATTGTCCCCACCAATGCCCCCACCACTGTCGCACTGTCCCCACTGTTCCCACAACTGTTCCCACCACGGTTCCACTCTCCCCACTGTCTCCACGGACCCAACCACTGCCTATCCCCATTGTCCCCACTGTCCCACTGACTCCTCCGCTGTCCCACTGAGCTGTCCCACTGTTTCCACCACTGTCCCCACTGTCCCCACCACTGTCCCCACTGTACCTCTGTCCCATTGTCCCACCGCCGTCCTCGCCACCGCCTTTACCAGTGTCTCCACCACCATTGTACCCTCCACTGTCCCAGTGTTTCCACCTCATTCCCACTGTCCCCACACCACTGTCCCCACCACCACCGTTCCCACCACTGTCCACTGTCCCCCCTGTTCCCACCATTGTCCCCACCACTGTCCCCACCACTACCGTCCCCACCACTGTCCCACTGTCCCCCCACTGTCCCCACCACTGTCCCGCTGTCCCCTCACCACTGTCCCCACCAACACCGTCCCCACCACTGTCCGCACCCCCACTCGGTTTTCGAGGGGGGGGGGGGGGGGGTTCGAACCGGTAGTGACCCCCCCCCCTTTTCATGATGAGCTGGGGGGGGGGGGGGGAGGGGTTCGAACCGGTAGTGACCCCCCCCGGTTTTCCGGAGGGGGGGGGGGGGGGAGGGGTTCGAACCAGTAGTGACCCCCCCCGGTTTTCCGCCAGCAGCGGTAGAACACGCTCTTTCGAATATGGAGATGAGCTTCCCCGACCTCTTCTGAATCAATATCGTCTCCTTCCCCTTGAGGATGATGGAAATGAGGAGGGGAATCACCGAATCTGCTTAGGTAGCAGGAAAGGACTTCTGCTTAGAATCTGCATGTGGAATGCCTCTCCAACTGAAAAGGTAGCGCCATCGACTACTGCTCGATGATGCGATGAGCGGACGACCCATATGTTGAGGCACACGCCAGCCGCGCCGATCGGCATAGCAAGCGTTCGTGAACGGGCGGTGACCATGACCAGCTCCTCAGGCTCACGTAGCTGAGCAAGTCAAGGGATCGTCGGACCGCCTGCCTGTGCGAAGCCTCTGCAAGTCCCAAAAACGTCGCAAAGCGATGCCTTTCACGACATCTCCGCATGGCCTCTGTGGAGGCAGCTTGGCCTCCGAAGGCCGACGGGCTGACCCGACGGCGCCGCACCCGCCCAAGAGCTCCAACACGGCCCCAAGGCGGCCGAAGACCCGACGGCCCAAGACAGCACCAAGAGGACCCAAAATAGGCCGAGGCTGGCCACAAGACGCCTCCAGACGGCACCCGGGGATCTCCCGGACGGCCCGGTATAATCCTCGAGAGGCCACCCCGGGAGGCCCCCGAGGGGCCCCCGAGAGGCCACAGAGGGTTCACCCGAAAAGGCATCCCACAAGGCCCTGCAACGATAATGCAGGGCATGGACCATGGGCGCGATGCGGCACAGCGGTGCTGCACAGCTCCCCCGCACGCGGCTGCGGAGATGCTCGACAGGGCAACCGAAGACGCATGATGGGCCAAGCGTGAAGGACAGGCGAGGAGAGGAGGGGGAGGGGGGAGGGGGGAGGGGGGAGGGGGAGGGGGGAGGGGGGGGGAGGAGGGGGAGGGGGAGGAGGAGGAGGAGGAGGAGGAGGAGGAGGAGGAGGAGGAGGAGGAGGAGGAGGAGGAGGAGGCGAGGGCGAGGAGAGGAGGGGGAGGGGGGGGGGAGACCAAGGGGTGTTTGAGAGCGGGGGGACAGCATGCGGACCAAGCGAAGGAGCGAGGCAGGGCCGAGCGCGGGGGCGGGGGTGCAGGCAGGGGCAGGAAGGGGCGGAGGGCAGCGGCGAGGGGAGGGTGGAGACGGAGGGGGATTCTGGACTGAACCGCACCGACTCCGCCACACCTCGGGCGCCCGTCTTCCGGCGCCGCGCCCGCGGCCTCGCTCGCTCAGGCAATCTGCAGCCCGAGCTTCTTGGCCTGCTCCATCTGGATGGCCTTCTCGCGGCGCTGCATGACGTGCTGGGACTTGATGCCCATGATGCCGCCACCCCACCGGCGGCGCACCTCCGAGTTGTCGTTGAACTGGCCCTTGAAGTTGCCGGCCAGGGTCTCCAGCTCCTTCTTGTCCTCGTTGTTCACCGACGTCAGCGCCACGACCGCGGCGGACTTCTTGTGCACGAGCTGGCCCAGCCTGCTCTTGCCCTTGACGATGCAGTACGGCACCTCCTTCTTGCGGCAGAGCGCCGGAAGCCAAACAACCATCTCGATAGGGTCCACGTCGTGCGCAATGGCCACCAGCTTGGCCTGCTTCTGCTCGACCAGGGTCGTCACGTGGTTCAGCCCGTACTTGATGACCTGGGGCTTTTTCGTTTTCACCTCCTGGCCGTCCTTCTTCTGCTGCGCCATCTCCATAAGTCTCGCTTTCTTCTCCTCGGCGGTCTCGGGCATGTACTTCTTCATCAGCTTGAATAGCTGTGCGGCCTGATTCTTGTCGATCGACATGTTAAATTGGTTGATGGCGGGCGGGACCTTGAGCCGCATGAGCATGACGCGCTTCATGCGCTGCAAGCGCACGAACTTGGGCCACCTCACGAAGCGGTTCAGGTTCCTCTTCGGCTGGATGTCACCGCCGAGCCTGAAGTTGCGCGGGGCCTTCTCGAACAGCGGATTCTTGGCGGCCTTCTTCTTCTTCTCTCCCAGGGGCGCGTTGGGGAGCTTCTTCTTAGCGCCTGCCTTCCCCATGACGACCGAGAACCTCTGCGGAGTGCAGGGGGCTGGGAGCGCCAGTGCGGTCACCTGAAGCTGGCCTGAACCGAAGTGGTTGCGGAGCAGGGGGAACTACGAAGAGAGGTTGGGAGAGGAGAGCAATTACAGTCGGTCTCGATTCACGCGAGAGGGCACAAGACCCTTCCGAGGGCCACATTGCCACAGGAATGCAGGAAGCATGGGTCGCGAGACACAGGACACGAGGGCACCCTTGATTCGGCAGGGTCGATTCACTAATCTGGGCCGCCTGTACAGGTTTGACCATGTCAAACGAAGACAAGATCGGGACAAAGTCGGATTGGGATGAATCGAATCTCTGAGACCCAGTTGTTCTGAGCATCGGGCGCCGCGGCTTTCCCAGAGCGTTCCCGAAAAAATTGTATCCCGTCCCCAGGCCCCAGGCCTGCCGGGCTGCTCAGTCCAACCCGTGCTGGCGCCGCCTGCCTACTTTTGACTGGCTGCGTTCAGTTTTTGTCTTCACGAATCACGGTACAGGGCAGTTTCTAATACATAGGATTTTTTGAATAGGATGTTTAATACATGATTAATGTATGAAAAGTTCATGCGTGAACTCATCGTTGTGTTTAATACTAAAGCCCTGCATGTTGAATACATGATCCGCACGCGGAGCACGTATTAATAACGGCACTGTAGGAACCTGGCCGACCAGCCACGCGTCCTCCAGGATGCATGGCCTTCTTGCTCGCTTGCCAGGCCCGCCTGGCCATGGATCGGCGGCGAGCCCCGGGGGGTACGTGAGCAGGGGCGGGCCTCCTCAGAAGGCTCGGGAGTGCCTGGCCTTCGGATGAGCTTCCCAAGCCTTCCCCGAACACACAGAATTGAAGGGGCCCCAGGACACACAAATAAATACACACAAATAAAAAGAATCCCCATATTCTCGTATATTTCCTGGGTGTCTGTCTTCCCCCCCACTTCCCATATTTTCCTGTATTTTCTGGGGAATCGAGGATGAATTGTGTCTGTGTGTTTTTTCCTCTCCTGGAGGGCTCCCGAGAGGCCCCGCTGCCTTCCGAGGGGGCCTTCTCCTTCTCACCTCTCCCCCATCGCTCACCGCCGAGTGGGCTCCTGGTCGCCCTTCGACCGTTGGGGCCGCCGCCGGCCTTCGGCGGTGTCCGGTGATGTCTGGCGGTCTCCAGTGGCCTCGGGTGGTCTCCGGCGGGCCTCGGCGGGCTCTGGCGGTCTTGCCGCCGGCGGGGGTGCAATTTGATCGAGCACCTGGGAGCTCGAGGGTCACAACGAAGGGGGCAGGCGCTAAGACGGAGCCAGGACGAGGATACAATCGGGCGAGGACAAAGCGAGAACCTCTGAGACCTGGCGGCCCTGGAGGATGTCTCGGGCGCAGAGCGTTCCGGAACGCCCCGAGAGAGCCCCGGACCGCTCTGGAACGGATTCGGCCTCATCCTGGCCCCGTCTGAGGGCAGGCGCGGCAGCTCACGTTTTTGGTCAATGGCCACTGGGATCCAAGCAGCGTGCGAGCGACGGCTGGACGCATCCGTGGCGAAGTGGGGCATAGGGAAGCAGGCGCGGCCGGAGGAGGAGGAGGAGGAGGAGGAGGAGGTGGAGGAGGGGGAGAAGGAGGAGAAGGAGGAGGAGGAGGAGGAGGAGGGGAGGAGGAGGAGGAGGAGGGCAGGAGGAGGAAGAGGAGGAGGAGGAGGAAGCGTGGAGGAGGAGGAGGAGGAGGAGGGAGGAGGAGGAGGAGGAGGAGGAGGAGGAGGAGGGGGAGGAGGGGGAGGAGGGGGAGGAGGGAGGAGGAGGAGGAGGAGGAGGAGGAGGAGGAGGAGGAGGAGGAGAAGGAGGAGGAGGAGGAAAGGGGCGAGGAGCGCTGCAGGAGCGGAGCCGCGGGGCAGGGGCGTCGTCGCCAAAGGCGGGGGCGTGAGGCAACCCACGGGAAGCAGGCGAAAAAAGTCGGGGCGCACTCTCGCACCTGTCGAGCAGCCGCCGCCGCCGCACCTAGGGGGCCACATGCGAACCCTACCCCTACCCCCCACGACCTCTGAAGGGGAGGGTGGGGCTCACTTTGTTCGGGAGCTCCCGAGCGAAGTGAACCCCGCCCTCCCCTCAGAAATCGTGGGGGGTAGGGGTAGGGTTCGCATGTGGCCCCCTAGCACCGTCGCGCGCTCGAAGCTGCAGGGTAGGAGGCGGCCAGAGGGGGCGGCGCGCGCACGCGGACGAGGAGAGCTCGCAACTGGGGGCAGCAGGTGACACCTCGGCCGCTCGCGCCGGCGGCCGGCTGTGCGGCACGAGCAGGCCACACAGGAGCTTCGGGATCGCCAGACAGGGAGGGCGAGTACTCGCGCTCGGCTTTCAGCTCGTGGTAGAAGTGAGATCCGAAAGGGTTCGATCGATGCGATGCGACGCGCATTGGAGCGAGGACGAGGAGGAGGAGGAGGAGGAGGAGGAGGAAGAGACAGGTGGTGGAGGCGGGGCACGCGGGAGTGGGCAGGCGGGCGGAGAGGGCGGGGCGCGCGCGCGCTTTCGGGGTGCTCCCCGACACCCGACCGCACTGCAGGACAGAGGTCGATGGCCACGAAGAGCCGGAGCGGAAACTCGTCCGCGCCCGGGCACGGGCAGCCAGGCTGGACCCCACAAACACAGAGACGAGAAGAGCAAAGAGACTCCCTACGCCTTTACCCTTGCGGCCCCCTCCCCGGTCCCACCACTCCCTTTCGTCATTTCTTTCCGCCCTCCTTCCCCTTGACTATCCCGCCCCCGTCCCATGTGTCTTTTAACCCCCAATCCCGACGGAGACGGGGGAGGAGAGGCCCAGACAGGACAAGACAGGAGAGAAGAGCACAAGAGAGCAGAGGAAGGAAGGAAAAGGCGGGGGGGGGAAGACGGGGAGGGGAGAGAAGGGGAGACGGACAGGAAAGTAAGGGGGAGAGGGGAGGAGAGGAGAGGAGAGGCGAGGAGAGGAGAGGAGAGGAGAGGAAACGAGAGGAAACGATAGGAAACGAGAGGAAAAAGAGGAGAGGAGAGGAAAGGAGAGGAGAAAAGAGGAGAGGAGAGAATAGGAGAGAAGAGCACAGGAGAGCAGAGGAAGGAAGGAAAAGGCAGGGGGGAAGAGGGGAGAGGAGAGGAGAGGAGAGGAGAGGAGAGGAGAGGAGAGGAGAGGAGAGGAGAGGAGAGGAGAGGAGAGGAGAAGAGAGAGGAAAGGAGAGGAAAGGAGAGGAGGAGAGGAAAGGAGAGAGAGGAGCGGAGAGGAGCGGAGAGGAGAGGAGAGGAGAGGAAGAGAGGGGAAGAGAAGAGAGGAGACGAGAGGAGGGGAGGGGAGGGGAGGGGAGAAGAGAGCAAGACAAGAGGAACATATAATAGACTGGGAGGAGAGGGGAGGAAAGGAGAGAGGAACGAAAGGGGAGTGAAGGGAAAAAGAGACGAGGAGAGGGGAATAGGCCCGCGCGGGCCTGCCTCACACAGCGGGAGGCGCCGCGGAACGAACGGGGGTGGGAATACCCTCCCCATGGCGCGGCCAGTACGACCTCGACTGGAAGGCAAAGCGGGCTCGTGGCGAACACGCCACTCAACGGCCCGTCTGCACACCCGAAAAATACGCGCTGGCGGCAAGCGCGCGCTGGCACGCGCGCCTCGGCACCTCGGGGAAACAAGCCGCCGCCCAGGAGCATCCCACGCAGCGGACCAGCGTTAGAGCGACAGAAAAGCTACCAGCAGCTCTCGCAGCGCACTCAGAACATGGAGAGGCTAGGACTAGTGTGCTCGCGGTGAGCATCGACGCGCGCATGGTGGCTTGCGGAGAACCCCACGGTGAGCAGGCGATCGAAAGGCCTGATGAAGCTCATTCCAGGCGGTCTGTGCTCTTAGGATCACATCAAGACGGGGCCCTGACAGTTCCTGGATACTACGAGGGATTTGAACAAGGCTGGTAGCACACTGATGCAGCGTCGTGCTGCGTTGGGCGGCTCGACTCCACTCGGTGGCCTGTACCGGGGTCAATCGGACGCCTTCACCGCGATGGGCGATGCCGAGGCCGCGAGGCCCCGCGCCCTGGCAGGGCGGGTTAGCGGCCCGATGGCGGAGCGCGGTTGGGGGCCAAGGGCGCGCGGCACCACTGCCCAGCCCGCCCGGCCGCCGCGGCGGCGCTGGCCCGCCCGGGGGCCCAGTCCGCGACTCGTCGCGAACCCGGCGCGGGCCCTCTCCCGGCGACCACCCGCCCCCAACGGCATCAACGCCCCGTGCAATTTCGGCCGCGGGAGAGCGCGGGCGGGACGGCGGGGGTTGAGCTACCCGAGCAGTCGAGCCCCCATGCAACCCGCGCTGCAAGCGGCCCCGCCTCTAGGGGCGCCCCGCGCAGCCCCCTCGCACTAGCGACGCCGCGGTCCACGACGCGCCGCCCCGTCGCACTGCTCGACGCGGCGAACCGCCCCGCGCCCACTGCCGCGGCGCTCAGCGCGCTCACGCCAGCGTCGTCGGGCCGCCCAGTCGCACTGCTCCACGGCACGGCGCGCAGTTCGCTAGCGCTGAACAGCTTCGGGTCGCCAGTCGCAGACAAGCTGTTCACGGCCGCGGCGGCGCTCGCTGCTCTATCCGCCTCGTTGGTCGACGCGAGACTGCCGCGCTGGGCCCCGTCGCGACGCGCCGCGCCGCGTTGCTTGCCCCTGTCGTTCTGCTCGGCAACTGGGCGCGGATCCATGGCGCCCTGCTCGAGGACGCGCACGTTGCACTGATCGTCTCTTTCGCGCGCGCGAGGCCGTTGGCGCTGCGTCTCGACGCTCAGGGAGCACTAAATGAGGCAACGCCTAAACGGGGTAACAGACACACCTGGGATCCAGGTTGGAAAACTGCAACGACCAGAGCAGAAAACTGCACTGCATTCTTCTGCAACGCAAAAAAACTGCACTGCTAATGGTTGGCAACTAATTGCGGGAAAACTGCAAACCAACCCCGCAGACCGGGCAACGGAAGGCCCAAAACAAAAAGTTGCAGTGCAGCAGCCGGAAATGCGCAACACGGCCAGCCAGTTGAAGGTGCTGTATCGACCGCGAAAGCGAAAAAAATGCACTGCAACAAAAGGGCCATTTGATGCCTCGAACCGGCCGTTTCCTGTTACCCCGCCCGCTGTTACCCCGTCTCTGGCTCCCCGAGACGCGCTGCCCGCAGGCGGCCCGGCGACTGGGGCGGGGCCCTGGCGGCTGCCCGCCTCCAGGGCCCAGAAGCGCCAACGCCCCGCGCTTCCTCGCACGCGAAGAGGGCGCGGGCGGGCGGGATAGCAGGGACTGAGCCACGCCCCTCGCGGTCGAGCCCCCATGCAATACGCGCGGCAGGCGGCCTGGCGCCCGGGGCCGGGCCCCGGCGGCCCCACCCACAGGCGCCCCGCACAGCCCTCTCGCACTTTCAGCGTCGCGGCGCACAGCGCGCTGCCTTGTCGCACCGCGCACCGCCCCGCCCGCGGCGCGGAGCTCGACGCGCGAGCGCGTCGCGGCGGCGCGAGTTCGCAGGCGCGAAGCCCCGTCGCGCCCCTCGGTGTCGCGAGGCAATTCCCGTTCGCACTGCCTGGCCTCTTCGCACCACTCAGCCATGAAGTCTTCGCCCTGAGCGCACACTTAACGACGGCGCAAGCGGCGCTGTTCGTCTCCCTCGCAGATGCGGGGCAGCTGGCGATGGATCCCGTCGCGCTGCTCAACGCCACCGTGCTCGCCCCCGTCGCGGCGCCGGCACGCGGCCCGGCGCCCGGGGCGGGACCCCGGCGGCCACCTCCGGGGGCAGCGCGGCCGCGCACCTTCTCGGACGCGGGGCAGAGAAGGGACGAGCGGCAGGGCCTGGGCCACGGTCCAGGCGGTCGAGCCCCCATGTGATCAGTCCGCAGGGCAGGCGGCCAGGCGATTGGCGCGGGGCCCCGGCGGCCCCCCGCCCCCAGAAGCGCCTCTCGCCGCCCCGGCGCGCCGTCGCGCCCCACGCTCGACGTCGCACTGCTCGACGCCGCAGCGCTCAGTTCGCCGGCGCCGCTCGGCGTCGAGGCGCAGGTCGCAGAGACGAGGCCCCCCGACTCGACGCCACGGCCCTGCCCACCTCGCTCGAAGATGCGCGGCTGCCGGCGCGGGGTCGCGCCGCCCTGCCATGCGTCACCGCAGTCAGCTCTTTCGCGATGCCCAGCGTCGACGTGCCGATCGCCGACCCGCTGCTAATGAAAACGTTCCTCGAAGCACTGTTCCGCTCACTCTTGAATGCGAGGCTGCCAGCACTGGATCCCGCCGGACTGCTCAGCGATGAAGCGCTCGCTTCCGTCGCGCTGCACGCCGCGCCAGAGCTGGCCCTGGACGCACGGCTCAACCGCACGGCGGTCGTTGCACTGCTCGTCGCACTCGCCCGTGGGAAGCGGCTGGCGAGGGGCCCAGTCGAACTGCTCGACGTCGCGGCGCCGAGCTCTGTCGCGCCGCGCGGCGCCGAAGCGCAGGCCGCGCGCGATCTGCCGCGGAACGTTGCGGTCGGCGCACTGGTCGTCTCGCTTGTAGTTGTAAGGCAATTCGCGATGCACCCCGCCGCAGGGCTCGACGTCGCGGCTGCCAACTCCGTCGCGCTGTTCGGCGTCGAGCTGCCGGCCCCCGACGCACCGCCGGACAACGCAGCGCTCGATGCTCTGTTTGCCCCGCTCGCGGGCGCGAGGCTCTCGGGGCTGAGCCCCGACGCATTGTTCGACGTCGCAGCGTTCGATGTCGTCGCGCCGCACGCTGCCACGACGGCCCCCGACGTGGCCCTCGAAGGCGCAGCCCTCATTGCATTGCTCGTCTCACTCGCAGATGCGAAAATACTGACGATAGATCTCGCCTCGGCGCGCGACGCCGCGACGCCTGGCCCCTCCGCCCTGCGCGGCGTCGAGGTGCCGGCCCCTGCCGCGCCGCTGAACCACGCGGTGCTCTCCGCACTGGTCGCCGCACACGCAGATGCGGGGCCGCGCGCGCTGCGCCCCCTCGCACTACTCAGCGCCGCCGCGCCCCGCTCCGTCGCGTCGCTCAGCGTCGAGGCGCAGGCCGCAGACGCGACGCTGGAAGACGCGGCGTTCGGGGCACTGCTCGCCTCACTCGCAGGCGCAAGAGGCCCATGCTAGATCCCGCCGCCGCGCGCATCGCGGCGGCGCTCGACTCCGCCGCGCTGCCCGGCATCACGGAGTGGGTCCCAGACGCAATGATAAAAGACATGGCGCCTGTCGCACTGCTCGTCACACTCGTTGATGCGGGGCTGCTGGCGATGGGCCCCGTCGAACTGCTAGGCGCCGCGACGCCCAGTTCCGTCGCGCTGCGCGGCGTCGAAGTGCAGGTTCCGCGCGATATTCTGAAGGACGCGGCACGCGACGCCCTCGCCAGACTCGCAGGCGCGAAGCTGTCGAGGCGGACCCCAGTCGCGCCGCTCGACATCGCAGCGCTCGGTTTAGCTGCCACTCGCGCTGCCACGACGGCCCCCAACGTGGCGGTCAAAGGCGCGGCGCCCGTTGCACTGCCCGTCTCACTCGTAGACGCGAAAATACTGATGCTGGACCCCGTCTCGACGCGCGACGCCGCGATGCCTGCCTGGCCCCGCCGCCGCGCTCAGCGTCGAG